GGAAAATATCGCATCATCCATGACCTTTCTTGGCCACCTGGACAATCTGTAAATGATGGCATTTGTAAAGAAAATTACACCTGTAATTACATATCAATAGACACTGTAATAAAACACATACTTCAACTTGGGAAGGGGTCTAGCTAGCAAAGGTTGACCTCGAAGAAGCCTTTTATCAAATCCCAGTCCGACCGGCAGACTGGGAACGTTTTGGCTGCTCATGGGAGCTAAATCTGACTGGACATAACATACATAACATAACAGTCGAACACTATCTTGATGATTAACATTACTATTGGAAACCCAGGGACTGAACAGTACTCAGATAACCTAAATGCCATGCTTGATTGCTGTAAGCAGCTAGGATTTCCATTAAATACCAGTGTGTGAGCCCACGACCTGTTTAGAGTACTTGGTATCATACTTGACACAGATCTTATGGAAGCCCGCATATCAAATGAGACTACAAGATACCTTGACAGAACTGCATCATTGGCACAATCGGCAATATGCCACAAAGCGTGACATTCTTTCATTAATTGGCAAACTTGAGTTTTATTACAAGGGTTTTTCGCATATTTCTAAGACGATTAATTGATACTTCCTGTAAGCTTAAGCACCTGCACCATAAGATAAAGCTCACTAAGAACTTCAAACTTGACATTCAGTGGTGGGTGGATTATTTACCCACTTGAAACGGAGTTGGTATGTTCTATGATCTGCAATGGACGACAAATGTCCACATCCACCTGTATACTGATGCTTCAGACTTAGGTTATGGTGCTATATTTGGAACAAAAACACTACAGGGAAAGTTCAGTGACGAAATTGCAGATTACACTCCACGCACATATTTAATTAACTAGCGCAAACTATATGCTATTGTGAGAGCCGCTGAATGTTGGGGTAGCCACTTTAAAACATTACGTATACTCTTTCATTGTGACAATATGTCAGTTGTGTACATGATCAAAAAGGGGAGTTCTCGCAACATCTTGTGTGCTTCCCTGTTACGTCAGTTATTTTTCATCTGTGCTAAGCATAACTTTGAACTGCAGGCAAAACACGTTGCTGGTGCAAATAACCAGGCTGCAGATGAACTTTCACGCATATTTGACCAAATATGATAGCTAATATGTTGAACCTGTTTCCTTGACAGACACTACTGCTCACTGGTGGACACGTGCTTGTAATCTGGTTGGAAGTGCATATTCAAGTAACACTCGTACAACATACCAGTTGGGTCAATTAGCATATTTTAAATTTTGTGATTCTATCCAAAAGCCTGCTCTGCCAGCAAGCGAGGAATTGCTTCTTATGTTCATTATGTACCTTCATGAGTCAAAAAACTTGGCACATAGTACTATCATCACCTACCTGTATTCAGTATGCTCTTGGCATATTACAAATGATGCTGGGACCCACTTCAGGACACCCCACGTATACAGCTTGCTTTGCGGGCCATACACAAAGTTAAAGGCACCTCAAAACAGAAGTTGGCCATAACATTTGACATACTCAATAAGTTATTAAACACTTTTCAGCTTCAAAGTCGCACAGATTGTGCAGTATGGACAATTATGATTACTGCATTTTTTGGTCTTTTTCGGTTGGGGGAGCTCGTGATTAAGAATCCACCTTTCGACCCTACACGCCACCTTACCATGACAGATGTATCGTTTCAAGGAACTGGGTCCGGCAAATGTGGCATTGTCGTAGTTCATCTAAAACAATCAAAAACAGACCAATTTCGTAAAGGTGTTGACGTTGTTATTTGCTGCTCCATGCACCAAATTTGTGCGGTCCGGTTATGGTCTGATTTTCATGCTTTGCGCACTAACGAGGGTGCCAAACCTGATTCACCAATTTTCACACTGTCAAGGTCTGAACTAATCACACGCGATTATTTAATAACTCAATTAAAACATGGCCTCAGTCTTATTGGACTTAACCCAGATGAATTTAGTGGACATAGTTTTCGAAGTGCGGGTGCCACTAGTGCTGCTGCAGCCGGTCTAGCTGACTGGGAAATTAAGATGATGGGACGCTGGTCCAGCGACTGTTATAAACGGTACATTCGTACATTCCAACAATATCTCTAATTACCTAAGTCTGGTACTTAATAGTGTGATTTATTAATAGTTACTGCCTATTTCTCACAGGCACATTACTTATACATGTTCAAGTTTATTCAATTTATATCTAATTACAATTGTTTTGTTAATATACATAACTTACATTTTTATGCTCACATACACATGTGCTTGGGTGCTTTGGGCAATTTTTCTTGTCAAAAATTCAAAATCTTTAGTGCGCTAGTCGGCTCTAATGTTACAGCGCCCTCAACTTTGAGAATCAATACATTAAGATTGTTGATCACATGGGCTGACCGCCATCTTTAAGTTTCTAGAGTTGTCAGTTGTTCGCAAAACATTACCACCCACCCTCCCATTGGAGATGTTACCTTTTCTCTTGTTAAATACCTTAATATTTGTTAACAAAGGGCACCACAGACGTTGTACCTTCTTAAATGTTTGACATGTACTTTGTTAAGCCATAGGGCAATTTTTCTTGTCAGCACATGTGATTTCATTAAAGAGAGCTTGTGCTGCCCACTGTGCCCAACTATTGTGTATGTGTGTGTTTGTTTTTAGCTAAGCAGAACTGATAAAATAGTAAATTTGAAAATGCAGTGTTTTATCATGTCTTCTATGTAGCAACACCTTTTGAACAGCCATGTTCTAAATATTAATACCAATTATCATGTCATATTAAACACAACACTTTTTGAACGCCTGTTCAAAGGCAATTAACAAATTGAATGCTTAAAAGCTGTTCAATTAGTATTCAGTTCTTTAAAACTGTTTTTACAGTGCACATGGTGGCCATTCATTTATTCTATTGTATAATGGATTTGTGATTCTTTTTTGTTTCATAGAACATCATATTTGAAATGCGCTCTTAAAATTGAAGGACAACATTTCTCTCAGATGGTGTGCCCAAGGCACTCACTGAAGAAACTTTTAATTTAGCTCTTCCCTTGGTTTTAATTAAATTGTATCTGGGACAACTCAGTCTGCAGTATTATTAAGTGAAATTGTAACTAATTTAGCAATATTTGGACAGAGTTGGTAAGCAAACTTGTGGTCCCAGTAAAGTATCTTGAAAATTACACTACATTTGAGCGCTAGATTTTATTTCATATTCTACTACATTGTATTTAAATACCAAACACCAGATATTTGTTTTAAAATCCGATGACTCATTTACGACATATATCTGATTCTGTTAAATTCGCACCTGAGCGCCCACGGTTTGACTTCGTTTAAATCTCTTGGATGTGACATTATAATGTAACCGCCCTGATCAGTTTGGCACCATTCATATGTATTCTATGTCGTTCGTGATCAGCTGTGTCATTATTGATTTTCGCGAATGCTCTACAGTTTTATTTTAGTGGTATTGCGACAAAGGACGTGAACTGTTGCGTTTAGGACGTTTGTTATTTATTTGGGCTTCGTATTTAAACTAGTAATGTCAAGTCGTTGTGACAGACGAGGTAAACGCTGCGTTGCTTTCGAGTGCTGGAACACGAACTTTGACGGTGTTTCGCTTCACGCATTCCCCTTCGACATGCTGTTTTTGAGCAAACTTTGGACAAAGTTTGTTCGGGTGAAGAGAGCTAAATGGCATGGTCTTACGAATCATTATGTGCTTTGCTCAGTCAATTTCACAGATGAGTGCTACCCCGCAAAAGTTTATGCGTGCAATGGGACAAGTTCCGGGAAGGAAAACTTAGCACAAAGGTGTTGTGCCAACAATTCATACCATCCCGGCTTATAGTACTAGTAACAATACTGATACAAGTCCAGCGTATCCGGTTGTGTCAACACCTAAAAGGCCAAGGATCGCTTTCTTAAAAAAGAAAATGCTATGTGCCGCGCACTGAGTTTACCGCAAGTATTTATGGTTACACATAACTACTGGCTATGGCGATAATGCTATTACGTTGACTTGTCTGATCAGTGAACATTATTTTTTTTCATACATTATTATAGCCTAATAAGAGAAGTGTGTGTGTACAAATAATACCCTTTAGATAAAATAAACGCATGTATAACCGGTTGTCGGTTTGTTGTCCCTCATCATACTAGTTTAACATCTGGTTGGGGAGAATTTATGTTATCTTAACAGTGAATATATATTTTGTCTCTTACGCTCTTATTTCAAAAGTTCGACACACTGCCAGTTTTTCAGATGGGACAGCCCGTCAAGTTTAGCTCAGATCCTATTGTAGATGTTATGCTTTTTCATCTATTATCAATATACATTTTGTAATTTATGTTGAACTTGACTGTGTTTTTGCATTACAGTTTGCCAGACAGATGTTGCATCCTCCAGAAACAAGAAGTGATCAAGTACAATGTGATCTGAAACCAAACCAAACAATACAACCCCCCAGACAATGAACTTGACACAACTTCATTTTCAAGTGCTGATGATTGGTAAGTTTTAATAAAATTATAAAATATAAAAGGGAAAGTTTGTGAATGAAAGTAGGTGAGCACTGGGCAGCTTCAAATCACATGGTTTTATGGTAAAAATGCATTATGCAGTAAATATAATTTAGTTTATTTCTCTTAATTATAGGTGTATGCAGAAAAATAGATTCTTTGTTGTTGGAAAAGCTCAACTCATGAATTTATTCCACACATGTACCAGATGCTCTTCACCTACATTAGGTGAAATCACACACATATGTGGCACAATGGTAAGAGTGGAGCAGAATTGTGTTTTTTTGTGGACTAAGCACAACATGGAACAGCCAAACCATGATAGGTTCCATTCCAAGTGGGAATCTTAGACTTTCATGTAGAATTTTGTTTGCTGGGGTATTAGCATCGAACACTTTACGTGTCATACAGTTTATAAAAATGCAAGTGTCTCAATGGATACTTCCATGAAACATCAAAGGTACTACCTCCAGCCAGCCAGCAGTAATGGAAGTATGGGAAAACTTGCATAGCAAGTACATTGATGATGCACTTCAAAATGGAAGGTCGCTTTGCATAGGTGGAGATGGGAGGTGTGACACCCCTGGTCAGATTGCTAAATTTGGCTCTTATTCAGTCATGGACCTGAAGAATGGTATTATGATTGACATACAGCTTGTGCAGGTATTTATACATTTTACTTACCTGGTACCGCATTTCATGTAAACAATATATAATATAATTAAAATGATTCTACTGTTTATATTCAGAGTAACGAGGTGAAAAGTAGCTGCCACTTGGAGAAGGAAGGTTTGGCATATTTACAGAACCAAGGTATTAATATTTACAAAATAGTAACAGACCGTCATGTTCAAATAATTAAATGGATCAGAGAGAACATGACAGGGATTGAACACTGTGTAGATGTTTGGCATGTTGCTAAAGGTAAGCAGTTTTCTCCCCCACAATCTTTGAGAGCAGCCATTTTATCATGCTCAAACATTGTTCTATTGATATATAAAATTGCTTGGTAGATTATTTTAGGTGAAACTCTGAATCCTTGTAGGATATTTTTGATTTATTTTAGTTATATCCAACATCAGTGAGATTGATAATACTAGTATTCAATATTCAGAGCAATTCAAGTGAAATTTTATAACATGATTAGCAAATTAACTAAAACCTTGACTGAAAACACATAATACTCATGAAAGGATTTTTTTCTTTAATGTCTACAGAACTTTCTAAAGAGAAAGAGTGTGGTGTAATACAAGACTGGATCAGGAGCGTCACAAATCATCTTTATTGGACTGCTGCTTCAACACCTGATGGAAATGGTGATTTGATGACTGACAAATGGACATCAGTTGGAAACCATATCCAAAATATTCACGAGGGTGTGAACATGAAGATTTGACAAGACAAAAAAGAATAAAACGATGGTTAAAGCCAGGTATTTCTCTCTTATTCACATTTTAAACACTTTGACTAGACTGGTATATTGTTATTACCGATATAATGATTAAATATTATATACATGTTTGAACCAAACTTAGGGATATGTAATGGTCCTTTTTAACACAGATTATTGTGGCTGCTAAATGTGACAAAACTTTACTCATTTGCATAAAAATAAAAAAAATGCAGCTAACTCGACAATATACAAGTTTGACATTTAACTGCATAAATACTAGTTTTACAATGATTTGTTTGGTTAGTTTTTCCTACCATCAATGTATTGTACAAAATTGAACTGGACTGTGAATGTAATATATACTTTCCATAACTAATACATAATTATATTTATATGACTGAATAAATGCAGAAAAATATTGAAATCTGGCAATATGGTTACCATGACAACCAGCATCAATTGATCTGAACAAATGGGGAAAACTTTTTTATCTATAGTGCTACATAGGTAAATATATATCTGGACATAGTCCACTCTTAATGCGGAAAATGAAAGCACCTGGTATGTACACAAGAAAATTAACATGTGGCCATATGTTTGTTCACTCCCCCCCATGTGGCGCGACGACAAGATTACTTATGGGGCAGTTTATCAAACATACGGACAAATCCTACATTTAGAAGTATATATGCTCATTTCACAGTTTTAGGAAATCAAAATATACGTCAAGCAAAGTACGTTTTTCAAATCGAACGTGAAAGAGCATGTAAATTTTGCCACATGCTTCAATTGGAGTGGACAAAGAATATTGACGAGCAAGCTTGTGCCTCTCTCGAATTAACTTGTGGGAACATCTTCTGCTCAAACAGCAAAACGACGCACAACGCGCGCATTGATTTACCGGGAAGTAATTGTGAGTATCGGTTGTCGTTTCAAAGACTCAAATGTGTCACGATGCAGTGGCGAGAGATGTCAGCCTTTTAAAAATCACACATGAAATGACATCCAGCTAAAATGTGTGCAGCAAGTAAGTAATAATACACAAAATCGCTGCACAATGCAAGAACTACTTTACGTGACCATAGTACATTTATCAATTACGCCCGCTATGATCGGCCATATACACAAATACGTTTTATCGTTTCTCACTTTTATTTTTCAAGTCAAGATCATTAAGACCTGGTTTATTTATGATGTCTCAAATAAGTAAAAATAAAAAATAAATCAATTATATTAATATTATCCCTTGATACTGAGGCTCTGACCTCTGAAAAGTCAACCACACCTTCCAGGGACTAAATCTTGGAGAAATTGATAACACTCTTCAATTCTCGACAAAGGAAGGAGGATATTCCTATTTTGTCAATATTACAACAGACTTCAGAACTGGAAGAATACCATTCTGTGGTGAATCAGTGTGCCCCAAAGATGCATGGGTTCTCATACAATGGAATGATGTGCAGGTAATTGTGTACTTGTATTAATCAACGTTGAAAGTAAAAAAAGCGGCTAACACATTAGTTGATTAAATCGGTATAAATATCATAAGTTTTATCACATTGAACACTACAGGAGAGAATAACATTGTTTACAAAACAACAGAATTGAAGACATGTGTAATTCACACGTTAATCTAATTTCAAAAGTTTACAACCACAGTTGATGTAGTACGTACCAAGCCTGTGTGACGCTATTAAGTCCATAGTGATATTATAATGCATGGCTGTTTTCTTTGTAGGCTTGTCTTAGCAGCAGCAATGCATTATAATGAAAATGGTGGACGAAATGCTGCTGTTACTAAGCATGCTTGTTATAAAATATCCAAAATTCACAAAAGGCAGTTACACAGTGCGTCAAGTAAAGGCAGAACCTACCTTCAGTGAGAACCAGTATAAAATGTTGTACGTGCATGTGCACTAGCAGCTTTATTGCATGACTTAAACTACTTAAAATCACAACCACAGCTCAGTTGTTCAACAAATAAAACAATAATTAAAAAACTAAATATACTTTATTACAGATTATGACAACTAATGCCACTGCAAGAGTGGTACAATGTACCATGTCACCACAGAGAGTTGGACAAACTTGTGTATTTTAATAAATTATTAAATAATAAAATGTTATTTAACTTTTCTTTTACCCCCCGCCCCCCCTCCTTCCTGGTATCGATTTCAAGTAATCACTGATCTTTGTTTATACCACTCTTTCCTTTATCACAATATCTGTTACCCGCTAATGCTATATGCAAATTTTACATTGTAAAATTAAAACTCATTGCGACCTAGCGACATGGCAGGAGCACAACCGGAAACGAGATGTTACGATCTTTGACATCTATCGCAAAGAACGACTCCTATATTGTTGTGTCACATGATCAGAAGTAAACAATTTTCCCATGAATAATATCGGGTTTTTAAAGGTTATGCTCGATAATCTTATTTTCTTAGTTCTCTTATGGGTCTTCATTCAACAATACCCATTCATAATATGCCAGTTTTTCGTCAGGACAAATTATCCCATGACGCAGCCATGCAGATTGATATGGTGTTTCAAAACTTGACAGTTGACACCATTCTAGCGATTCATTCATAGACTAGTGCCGAACTTTCTTGATAGGTTATAGTGCACGTGACTGAGCCAAAATACGTTAAGGATTGTGTTACTTCATCATAAAATGTGTTACCGCACCAACAAACAGTCGAAATGCGTGTCGTCACACAATTTAGATACGCACACGACGATATTCGAAAAGGATATTCATCTATTGTTGCTACAGAACGTTTTTACTAGTTATTAAAACAAGCAGCCTGTCGGCTGAGATAGCTCCGCTGTTAAGGATGCACATTTGAATTAAAGAACTGAAGATATCATAAAAGAATGAAGAATTTAAAAATATCATTTTTTACTAAAATTGCTCCGCTGTTAAGGATGCACATTTGAATTAAAGAAATGAAGAATTTAAAACTATCATTTTTTACTAAAATTGCCAAAAATATTTATCACAAAATGAACAAATTTGAGAGAAGTCTTGAGGTAGCACCTGTATAAGTAATATCAAAGCAATAAGACTAGTGGTTTTTCAACAATAAGTCAAAAATATTTTATTTCACCAAAAATTATTTAAATATTTATAAAAATTAGAGAGTCGAAGATATCATCACAAAAATGAACAAATTTGAGAAAGGTCTACTTGAGGTAATTGCTAGTTATTTAACTTATCTTTCATAAATGTTGGTGACTAATTAATGTGGAATGGTTTTAAAGTTACAATTTCTTTTCATTTTTCGGACATATTGGGGAAGGGAGTATTTGTGAAGATGTAATGTAAAATATTTTATTTTAGGTGGAATTAATTGTCGCTGAAAAGATTTTTTGAGTATTTTGTATGAAATTTATTTTCACTAAACCATTTCTTCAGTGAAAATAGCGAAAATTAATTCCAAATGGAAATAAGTATTTTACAGTATAATTAATGGCACATTTAGGGCAAGTTTTGTTTGCAAAAGTGGGTATTATTTATATTGAGGCAGAATATCTGTCAGAAGGGGTACAATTTACATACTAGAAAATCTGAAGGTAATATAAATATTACAAGCAGAATGAATGGTATTTGCCTTCACATTATATGTACCGATACAAGGATGTTTGGAAGTAGGGAAAAATTGTTTTGTGACCTGGTTTGTTTGTATTCATTACACCAGAGGTGGATAAGAAAATGAACTTTGAAAATAAATGATAATCAGTTTAATATTGTGATAAATTGATAGTATTCCATGTATAATTACATTGAATTACCGGTAATATAACAAAGAACCTGGGTAATATTTGACGGTTGAGTGGAGTGCTGTAAAGTTGTTTATATTGTACTGTATGTTTACATAAAATATAAATCTTAATAATGAACAAAATAATGTTTAATCATTAAATTTTAGTAGTGTATTCATCCTAGATTACAAATTTAAGTTACATTTCAATTATTATTCCAAGTATATAACTAGTACAACGCAACTACACAAGTAAAACTGTTAGTACAACTAAAAATACAGACAAGTGCAACATGCACATCAGTAACTACAAGTTGATACACCAGTTATATATGATTAATGTTTGTAATAACTGCAGTTTGTTTTCTGCATTGGACCTCAAGTGGTCCTGCTTTGAGTAAAGTTCTTGTTGCATATTTAATGTTTTTAAAAATGTCAACATAGTCAGGAAATTTGATGAATTCTGGCAGGAAACCGGTTAGTTCTTTTAGAGTAGAATCATTGGATTTCATATTAAGAAAACGTTTTCCATTTTCTTTGCATAATTCTTTTAAGGTTGTATTACCACACCTTGTACAGGTAATGATGTCGTCATCGTCTGTTGTGATGTGTGCACCACAAGTATTGAATTTCTTTAATTGAAATCACTTTCCCCTTGATTGTATTGTTGAAAATGTCTTCTATCAGTGCCTCACATACTTCTTGATTGTAAGCCACCTCTTCACATTCTTCTATCTCAGTGTCTGGTGGTGTTGTTTAGTACCTGTCATCATCTTCTGTTATTCTTAATTTTAATGGCTTGATTAGATATGACTTATATAATTCTGTAGAATGACAGAGGTCATTGTATAACATGATGAGGCACTTTTTCTGGCCAGAAACTGCATAAAGTTGGCGTTTCTGAGTGCAATTATAACTAGCCATTTGGGATATTTCATTCATTTTGATTATGTAACCTCTAAGTTGGTACATATTATCTCCAACTGGGTATTCATCAATAGTTTCCAGGTCAATTTCAGTGCATTTGAATGCACCACTTGGTGGGAAAGTTGGTTTTGTACCTTTTATGTTTTATGCATCTTGTATCACAAGTTTTGTGTTACCTGAACTTTCTATTTCTTTTTTTATATTACTCAATGTAACTGGCACAGCATTTGTTTGGAACTCTTTTAGTAGTAGTCTTTTTTTGGGGGGGGGGGGGGCTGAAGCAGATTGCCTGTGTTCCTACATTATCAT